ATTTATGTCTTTCCATTTTCCTAACAAATGCCTCATGTGCAGGGTGGTCGTAATTAAAGTTACCCTATTCAGGCCCCTGTAGAACCTGTTCTGCCACTCGGATTTTCAGAAGGTTATGCCAGAAACGATTAGTGCAGTGGGGCAATACCATTTTTGTCTATGACGATGTCGTGGTGCTCCCTGCACTTTTTCCTGTCCAGTCCTTTATATATGTTATATGGACTATAGGGAAAAGATTTCTAAAAAAAAAAAAAAAAAAAAGTTAAAATTTTGACCACCAGATGGCAATTTTCAAAAATTTCTTACGCAAATTAGTCAAACATATAAGGAGACTTGCAATCAGAGGCAGAAGCGTGCCTTTCTCATCGTTAATATTCCCTTTACAGAAGAAAGTTCGAACTTTACTGGTGAAACTGCTTTATGGGAACGGCAATGTTTGCAATCCGCTGTCTTCATGCAAGTTGGAGCTGCTTCCCGAGATTGGGCGTTAAGTCAAAGAACTACTTCGTTCTAACTTTGGCGAGAATCGTGTAATATCCAGAGCTTTTCCGGTTGCCTGGCCTTCTAGTTCACCCGATTTAAATCCCTGTGATTTCTGATTGTGGGGATTCGTAAAAGAACGCGTGTGTGGATGAAGAATTAGGAAAGCCAGCAGTGAAACATGAGTTAACCCTTTCCCGCACGCTATCTTTTAAAGTCGTAGTTTGGATTAAAAAAAAGTAGGCAGTCTAATTAGGCTTAGAGGAGTACACAAGTAAAATTTTGTGAAGATAGCACTTATCGTTTTAATTCTGTGGGCACGCTGATTGAATAGAGCTTCGAAAGGAATGCTGAAACGAGCATTGTTGTCAATGAACTGACCGAGGAGATGCGGAGAAACAAAGAATACAGACTCTCAGTTGTCCTAGATTATCGGTCAGCCCGTTCTGGGCACACCTTGTAGAAACTGTATTGCATCAGATGGCGCTGTGTGCGCTTGAATTCCTTGGACTCGAGCAGAACCTTGATGACTGATCGAGATGTAATACGAACGCCAAACACTAACTAAAGTTTATATGTGCTTCTCTTTGTTGTAAATGTATTTAATTGTGTCGTAAATAAATTTTAGAGAAAATGACAAAAGGCGAGAATGCGTCTGACAGGTAAGCGAAATTTCTTTATAATTTGTTACTGAGTTTTAGCGACAAAGAATGTATATGCGTATTTACACACCTAGGGTTCGCCGTTTGGTTTTAGGCAAGATTTCGAGGTAAATATTTAAAACTAATATAGAATAAGGAGATTGGCATACAGCCAAAAAATAACATAGAAATTTCTTTTCCATTATTATTTTCCATTATAATATTACACTGATTCTTTTATACCCTAAAAAAATCTGGAATATTTCTTTGAAAAATGAGGGTCTTAAAAAACCATTCTTTCAATTTTTCTGTGCGTACAGAAGGAAATTTTTAGGTGTGTCCAGACCGGATACACTGTGCCGCAGAGGTTAAAAGCCAGCAGTACGCGGCATCTTGCTGAAATCTCTCCAGAACTATATCCCGCTGCCTTCTTGTTCACCCGATTTAAATTCCTGTGATTTTTGCTTGTGCGGATTCTTAGAACACCGTGTTTATTGAAGAGGAACTAGAAAAGCCAGCACTGAAACCTGAGTTAAAAACCAGCATTATACGCCATCTTGCTGAAATCCCTCGAGAGCCACTTCCCACTTCCATTGTCGTCCAGAATAATAGTAGTATGTTTGCCTTGGAATCTGCTGACATTCTTGTGCACTAGTCATACCCACAAAGTCTTCTAGCCACGTCCTGTATACATGAAAGCTCTTTCTCACTTTAAAGCATAGTATTACTTCCATTTGTAACAATGCAGATATTAACTCCTTTATAAGTCACCGTGCATAATTAGTGTATTTACTCTATACAATGTGAAATGTGTATTGCAGTATAATAGTAAAGGATAGTTGCAGGGTTCGAACAACACCCGAGACTTAGAATGCCATTCGAGTGTCCGGCCCTGCTGTCACCTGTCACCCGCCATTGAACGCGTTGTAGTGAGCTTTCAACACGTAATTCTTATCAAGGGAGCGCACATTCTGTAACTGAATAAATTTTAATGATTCTGACAGATTTTTTTGTCTTCCTTTAGGCGCCGCAATTCCCTCTGGTGGTTCAAATGTGAACTATTTTTTATTACAGAAATCGTTTCCCCATGGTCCATATAACAAATATACCAAATTTCATCAAAATTCAGTAAGTAGAACAGGTTGTAGAGGGATCTGAATAGGGTCACTTTAATTATAACCACCCTGTACCTTAGCAGGAAATTTTTAAGGATATTTAAGGGGGCTCCTACACCTTAAACCCCTTATGATCTTCGAATATGGGACTGTTGCAAGAATTGGGATATTTTATTTATTTTAAAAGCAATTACTTCCAACTTTTTACAGCTGACTCCATAATATAGCTGCTTTCTGAACTAGTAACCAGAAAGTTTGTGTTGCCACAAATATTTTTCTAAAATAATCCGCTTTGTGATAAAACCTTTCGTCATGTTTCCATCTTGCGCGCATGATAATTTTAAAATGCCTAATGGTACATACTTGAAATTAGATGGAATCCTTTATATGGGCCTATCTTCTAACTGAGCCAAAAGTCTGTTAAATATTTTAATATTAAAATATTTTATGCACGAAACATTAAAGATTTTTTAGTAAAATACATTTTATAAACTCAACTCCAAATAAAAAAGTTTAATATGAATTCTTAGAATTTTTGTTCACAGTAGTTTCCAAATGTTATAAAAGCTACATATTAAATATGGAATTAAATTATAAAACAAATGTTTTAAACTGTGCGCGCAAAGTAGAAACATGACGAAAGATTTTGTCACAAAGCGGATTAAATTATACAAATATTTGTAGCAGCACAAACTTTCTGATTACTATTTGGGAAAGCAGCTATATTATGTAGTCAGCTGTAAAACGTTGGAAGTAATTGCTTTTAAAACAAATAAGTTATCCCTATTCTTGACACAGTCATATATTCGAAGATTTTATGGGTTTTAAAGTGTGCGAGTCTCATTAAGTTTGACCAGTGTACACGTAATAAACCACATTGGCAAGGAATCCTGTGTATATCCTAAGAGCTGATATCCGAAATGGAATTTTCAGGTATGGAATTGCGAATTTTATTGATAGTTAAAAAGGTGTGCTTAGAGAAAAGCAGCTGAAGCAGAATATTCTATATTTTAACTTTCGAAGCTAGTCCTTCAAATATATGAATATTACACTGATTCTTGTTGCCTTAATTCCGATGATCGTTATAGCTTTAGATTCAGTTTCTAATAACATGTGTATTCTTATTTTACATTTAAAATGCTGCCTTCTTCTCTTTGTACACTGCGAAAAAAAAAAGAAGAAAGGGCCTGTTCTATATCTCTCGTATCTACTGGGGCGATTGGCAAAATTTAAATTGCGTTTTTCATGTCTCGAAAGCGCGACTTAGGATATATATTAGATTTATATATAGCATTGTTTTAATATGGGTATTTTGACGCAAAATTGGAATATTTCTGAAATGACTTGCCAATTTTTGTCCATATTTACATTCTACGGTTCAAATTATGCCTAACTGCCAAGTTTTTAAAAAATAGCACGAGTCGTTTTTAAAAAATTAGCTCTCAAAATTTTAGCTTCTCCATGTTAATTGAATTTGATATATCTTTATTAAAATTCTCTTTTTTTTAATTAAAATTACTTGATTTCTTCCTCCAGAATTCGAAATTTTGGCTTAATTCAAATATAATTCGCACATTTTTTATTATTTGTTTTATGCATTTCTAAGCATATCTGCAAAAAATTAGAGTTTTTATTCAAAATTTATTAAGATATATATTTTGGCACGTTTTGAATTTTGGCGTATTTAATATAAGCGATAATAACGAAAATGTGGTTTGCGCACTTTGTTAAAATTATTTCATAGACTGAAGAATGGAGCCATTTTTTCTCTCGTGCATCAATGAAAAAAAATTAAGTAAGTACTAGGTTAACTATGAATTAAAATTTCCGCCAAATGGCGGAATTCTTGGCGCAAACCGAAAAAAAAAACGTCCAAGATAAATTTTTAAATTTCTCCTTAAATTTCTCACCAAAAATTATAGAATTTAATATCTAAGCATAATTTGAATCGTAGAATCGAAATATGGAAAAATAAATATTATTTCAGAAAAAGTCCGATGTTAGAATAATGCTTTAGTCACATTGTTTCTGCTTCTAAATAATTTTAGCACAGTGTCTAAACCATGCTTTCAACAAATATGCCAAATTTCAAAACGCGCCAATATATAAAATCACGTATATCTTCGGAAATTTTGAATAAAAAACTGTAATTGTTTGCAGGTATGCTTAGAAATACGTCTACTTTAAGATGATGATAAAAATGTTACAGATTATAATTCAAAACGTTTTCCGAAAAATTTATAAAAATTATTTTAAAATACAAATTTTAGAAATAAATCATAAAAAATGAGTGAATTTCATTTGGAATGAACCTAAATTTCGAAATGTCAAAGGAAGAATCAAATAAGTTTAATAAAAAATAGAGATTATTAAAAATATATACCAGCTCAATTAACATGGAAGAGCTAAAACTTTGAGAGCGAATTTTTTAAAAACTACTCGTGCGATTTTTTACGAAGCTTGGGAGTTTGGCATAATTTGAGTCGTAGAATCGAATTATAGAAAAAAATTGCTATGTCATTTCAGAAAAAGTTCGATTTTGGATCAAAATACCTATGTTAGAACAGTGCTATATATAAATCTAATACATATCGTAAGTCGCGCTTCCGAGACATGAAAAACGCAATTTGAATTTCGTCAATCGGGCCAGTAGAACGGGAGATACAGAACTGTCCCATTTTTTTCGCAGTGTACATATCTTGTCATGTATTATATACGGATTAGTGTCTTCATATATATTTGGTTTTTTAAATTATTGTTTCAGTCTCTTCCTTTCTGGCCGGACACTGACTCGATGAAGATGTTCGTCAAACTTCGAGACAGCAAAACAGTTTCTCAGCATTTCCCAGTGGACATCTCGCATGTTACTGTTCTAAGGATGGAACATGGGGTAACTTCCATTTTCATTGAAATCATAGACCCTTTAAAAGTTACCAAAATCAGATGTCATTGCTTCTCTGTTGCGCAGAATATTCCGCCTAGCTGTGTTCCGAAACTCCGCCTGATTTTCCCCACTTGCTTAAGTGGCACTCAGTTTCAGTGATACCGCAAAATGGTAGATGATAGCTCTTTTAAAAGATGTGGCTTTGTCCATTTATAGCTTATTTTCGGTTTCCTTAAATGAAATTTTAATAAGAACTCGCATCGAGAAGTAATTTAAGAATAAACATTCAAGAATAAGGGTCAATTCACATGTCCAATCTCCGTATATTGTTAGGTTTTTACGTTAAGGGTTCGTGGATTTGGAATGAATAATGACGACACTTCATGAAGTATCGAAACACAATTTATTAGCCAGTATTATTCAAGACAGCTCCAATAAACACATTTACAGTCGTCGAAGAATTACTATAATCACGCTGAAACAATTAGCGATACAGCCCTCAGGCTATAATAGTGAAGATAGCTTCACGGCAAACCTCCAGAGTACAGCTCGGTCGACACTGCTCGGTCGTTCTCGGACTCAACGTACTCTCGAGACTCTCCACGCTACAACTCGCGATGAACTCGACGATACACTTGAGACTCCGCTCAGTCGTTCTCGGAGCTCAAAGCACTGTAAGATGAAACTCGACGATGCACTAACTCGCGATACACTAAGAGACTCTCTCGATGCACTCGAGTTCAAGACATTAGCTCTGCGTACCTGCAGGGCTTATATAGCTTTTGGCTTACATTCGAGAACATTCCTGGGCTAAACCAGTTAAAATTCGTTCCAGAATGTTTTCCATTTGTCTATGATGTCATATCACCAATTTTGATGCCAAATGGGCGATTTCTCGCCAAATATGGCAACTCTGCTTTCCCTTGCCATTTTCTAATAACCCTAAACCTGCTTTGCCGGGGAAGCTATCTTACCGCGGCTGGACATTTCGTAACAATATCTGGATGAACAATGGCTAACCATGAAAACATATTCACTTAGACCTTCACATTCGGTTCCCAGCATCTCCTTGAAAGTTGCATTCTTCGGGTTAAAACTGAACTTCAGAAGGGAGGCTCTTGATGAACAATGACTAATTTGCAAATGTACCTGTACATTTATTCAAGTCGTTGACCGTTCGCTTCGCCCCAGAATCTTGACAAAAGCTGTATTCTTCATTTAATAAAATACAATTCTTATGGATGCGGACATCTTTATTGAAGTTGACGTCTAGTCTCTTAGATCTCCACATAGGCGTCTTGGTACCTTGATGAAAGTTGCATTCTTCATGGCCTTGATGAACAGTAGCTAAACTGTAAATGGTGCCGGCAGATTTATTCACGTTTGCGACTGTTCACTTTGAAGGAACGTGCCGGAACCTTCATGAAAGCTACATCTTTCATGGTAAAAACTGAACTTCATAAGATTACCAGGTACTTTTTATGCTACGGACAGTGGCTAATTTGCAAATGTTGGTGGTACCTTTAGTCTTGTCAGCAATTGCTATCTTATATCTTAAAAAACGCAATAGAATCTTGACGAAGACTGCATTCTTCATGGTTTAAATATAACTTCATAAAGGTGCCAGGCACCCCTTATGTCTTCATGAACAATGATCAAGTTGCAAAAGGTGGCGTGACCTTTCTCGGTGAGTCGGTGACTTCACTTCACTATATCACATCGAGAATTAATTTAATAATAAGCATTCAAGAATAAAAGTCATAAATTCACATGCTGAATCTCCTTATATCTTGATGAACAATAGGCTCATCATGAAAACATGATGGAAATCTTGTTAATCTTGTTACCCTTAAATCTTCAAAGGGAGTCCAGGAATCCTGCATGGCGTACACTAAATTTCCTAAGGTTGAGGGACGAACATCTTTGTGGCTTAGTGCTGTGCGCCTTGACGAACTATGGTCAACTTCCTGCATGATCGTGGAGGCAGGTTTGGAAATGAGCGTCAGATCTACCCCATCTGCCCCTTCACTGGCTGAGGTCTATCGAAAATTCCAGTGTTATTCAAATGGGCTGCAAGTAGTCATATCAGGTTCTTAATTAGATCGCAAGTAATGTTAACAACGTAGTTGCAGTATTGATATTGAAACATACCTCGCTTTCAGTGACATTAGATTAATCGTGTGTATGAATGCTGTTTGTCCTTGAATTAATGCATGTTTTCTGTTATGTAATGTTTTCAGTCGAAATATAACTTACAAATTCATCATAGATAAAGTTTATAACGTTGCGCGCCTCCAACTTGCACGCAACCAAGAAGTGACTGTGAAAACTTGTATAAAAGATAGAGCCTTGTGAAGGGTTTAAGTCCCTTTTATTCAACGAATAAATTACAATGCGTGCTCTGACGCTACAGACGTGCCAACTGGCAGTCAATAAAATATAACCTGAAAGAAGTACGACAGATTCTAACTACGAGGCTCTCAAAAATAACTAACTCACCGCGTTTTCAATACCGCTGCATTCAGCGACTGAAGCTCACGGAACGATTACCACTACTTCCCGCCAACACATAGGCCGCAACGCGGGTTCTTCAATCTCGCTAACTACCTCCGCGCTCGGCAGTAGAATATCACACACCGAACTTGTTTCCCTTCCTCTTAAGCGAATACTTCCGCTGATAATTTAATCCTTTCGCGTTCTCTAAAATTTACATATCTGGGCATTGGCCTTCAGGGAAAGTGGCTTGACAGAAAATAGTTTTAACAAAATAAATGTTAGTTAAAATAAATATAAACCCTACAAGTTAAAAGTATCTAAAGTAATAGATATATTTATCACCTGTGCCTTCATTCCGGTACTGTTAAGCTGCGTCTATTGTGAGTCTTAATGAGTCTATTGTGTCGATTGTGAGTAACTTGTATGTCTTGTTTAAATAAATCCTAATTTTTACGTCATTCGATATCCTATTCCAGAGCGCGCTTACAGTGGAAGTGAAATCCGAAGAAGATGCACCAACGACAATCTCATTCCAGCAGTATGTACCAGGTGATGCTCCAGTTCGAGTCGACAACTGCTGCGAAGACCTTTTCCTCAAAATACACCAAAAGTATGACATTCTTCATAAACTGAGAGCCAACTAACTCGGTAATCCCCGAGTCGGTTGGCTCTCCAGCTAAACTAAAACTTTAATATTAATAAACTGAAATAATAATTATAATTATTGTTTTCCATTCCACAGGTCTCAGAGCCCAGTGACTCTACTTAATCCCTACCAGTCCGTCTTGTACACGTGGGACGATCCGAGCCAGGAACGAACCCTTATCTGGAACCTCTACAACAGAAAAAAAGTCGGATTTCCTGCACGTATTTCACGAGATGGTTACGGTTTTGAGAAAGTCTCCTTCCATTCGCTCAGAAAAACATTACAGCAGCAGCCTTCTGTGAGGTAAGATATGCCAAGGTTAGTACCCCCATAGCAGAGAACATCCTCAGGATGTCCTGTTTAAGTCGCAATATCCCGGGACGTACTCAGGATATCTTGAGGACATGGTAATTTAACATCCTGAGGATGTCCTATTCATGTCGCTATGTTCCGGGATATGAGATGATGTCGTGGAAATGTTGATTCTCAGATGTCCTGAGTATTTCACCAATTTCACATCCTGAGGGTATTCATATTGCATTGTCCGGAGGACTTCGGTTGTCTTCTGAACCGACGCACGAGAAAAAGTATGTGGTACGCAAAAGAAACAAAGTTCTTTTTTATTACGCAAAGAAACAAAGTATTTTTTTTACTATGCAAAGAAACAAAGTATTTTTTCTAATACACTGCTGGCCACTGTAAATGCAGCACTCCGAAGAAAGCATGCAAATAAAATGAAATTTACAACATGCCTTAGCGGACGTGAGCTATGCAAATGATTAGAATTTCAGCGCAGACGCACTCCGCGGGCCTTTGGCCCCACTCAAGCCTATTTAGCTTGTAGTTTCGGACGATTCAAGTTCGGCCAATTGTGTTTTGCTTGTGTTTTTTTTTTCAGAAAACGATCAATTCTGCCTCGTATAACATGATCATCGTTGATCACGTATCCGAGTTCGACGAGGAAGGGATCTGACCTACCGAGAGTGTGGATTATCTTCATGAATCGGTATCGTGTTGACGAAACCAAACACCGATCAATAGTGCCTTTGGAGCAGAGTGTACACGGACGACGTGTTCGAATCTGCACCACCTCATGTACCACTTCATTGATGACAGGAACATTGGCGCCTGGCATGACGATCTCTCATTCACATCACTAATCTACAAGCACATTCAGTCTATATCGCTCATCCTGTCTGCGGTGCCATTCGACGCCGTTACAGCAGAGTGGTCTTCCGCAAGACGTCCTGGCGTCCTACCCTTGACCAGAACCCAGACGTCGCCGCCGCCAATGGTGCCGTGAAAGGAGAACAACCGTGGAGAGGGGATGTGAAGAGCTGCGTTATCCCGCCACACTGGTCCGCAGCGTTATTAGGTCTGGGCGTATTGATAACACTTTCGCACTCCTCTATTGCATTGCCGTACTTTAAACACCGCACGCTACATCTCTGAGTGTTAAGCCAGTTGTCCTTCCTACCTCAGGGCTTGCCCAACCATATTCAAAGATAAGCGCGACCACACGTGGCAGCATTGTCCAAGGGTCTCTTCGTCATCGCCAGATTGAGTGCTGCCCTGGCCGGCTCGCTGTCCAATCTTTCGCTGATAAAAACGTGTCCATGTTGCTGAACGATTTTGAGCTGAAGTCACTTATACAACTGGGAGAATTGAAGACAAAAAGGGAATGGATACTTTTGTGCGAGCTAAGAACATGGACCTTAGGAAGCAGTGACGTCACACAAGAGCAAAACTTATTACAGAGTAACCTTGAGATATACTGCGTGATCTCCTTTTAACACTGACGAGAGTGTCTCGTTGTTGACACCTGACGATAATTTTCAAATCGACGTGTTTGTTTCGCGGGAAACGGTGAAATGTTTGTTTCTTAAATTCCAATAAATCTTTACATATAATAAAAGGAAGAGTCTGTGTGTGTGACTTTCGTTCATGCTGCGCGTAAGCTAATAGATTCATGGCTACGAAATTTGGTACATAGGTGCGTCTAGAAGAGAGCCAGTGCACCTTTTTTTCAAAATTCGGATCAGATTTTTTTTTTAATTTAATTTTTTTTGATTAAATCGCATCATTTTGAATTGTTTCATTCTTTTAGAAATGTGGTTTCGGCAACAGTTTTTCATTTAGTGCTTTGTATTCACTGCTGACTGTTGAAAATATGAGATTAAAATGTTGCTTATTTTTGATTTTTGGACGCGCAACACGCACATCTCACTCTTCTTATTCTGACGAGCATGTGTCTGGCGAGACACACAGAAAGAATTTCCTTCTCTCTCTCTCTTTATACAATGGCAAAGGGTGTATACTTGATTCACCCACAAAGCCAATTTTGACTGGTATTGCTTCTGATGATAGGTCATTTTCTTAGAAATGTTGTTTTGGCACAGGTTTTCATTCATCGCTTGGATAATGGCTGCTGCTGCTTTCTCTTGAAAATATAGATTTATGCTTATTTTATTTAATGTTTTATATTGTATTTAGTTATATATATGATTTAATTATATAAAAAGTTTTGCATGATTATTTTAGGAAACAAAGTTCTTAACTTTCTTCATACCATTTGAATTCTTAAGATTTTGCAATGGGAAGTTGCTTAATTTATTGATTAGGATAATTTTTAGTAAGGGATTCGCTTATTTCATTGTAATATTTTTATATGTATAATACATTTTTATCGAATTTTTTTAATAAAGTTGTGCTGCAGAGTAGAATTCATTTTCACGGTACATTTAAAAGCCAGACGAAGGCTGACAGCTTTGCGGCTATTAAGCTAATATATGAAAAGTTTAGAAACATTGCAACAATACTTAAAAACAGCAATATAATCGATGTAATTAAATATTTACAAAAACGCAAAAAGTATGAAATAAAATTAAGGATTTTTCGCTTGCTAAGTGTTCTCTTCAAATTTGCATGACGTAGTGTTCTCTAAATGCTTTTCAATACTATCCTTTTATATTTTAATATCCTTTTAATAGTTAAATTGTTCGATTTTGGTATTTTTAAGGACGTCTTCCATGGACGAGAGTAGCAGCTCTGACGACGATAGCGAGTCCGAAGACGGTTTACTACCGAAGAAAACAAGAAAAGATAAAGTGGTCGTCCACTGGGTATCTTACGTGGAAAAGGAACAGCGTGTCTTGCTCTTCACTCAGGATGACAGAATTGCCAGAATAGCAAGAAAGGTAAAAGATTCATACTTGTTTCTCCGCCGCACAACCGGTATAGTAATTAGCGTATCTGGAATTCGAATTCGTGCCGAAGGGCCCGAGTTCGAATCCTGGATACGCTGGATGTCGCGGAACGGGATACGCTCTATGTCCCGGAAAAGGCATGGATGTTTCTAAATGTATAGTGTCGGTGCGTCATGGCGGCACTCTAGGCGGCGAGCATAAAATATTCTCGTGTGGTTTGGTAGAAGGAGAGAGGGGGGGTTCCCGGTTAATGTTATGATTCGGATATAAGGTATTTCTCCCGATTTCTTAGCATATCTTCGTCGTGTAGTGCCCAGCACGATCGACGCGTATTCAAGAGGTCCGTGGTTCGAGACCCGGCAAGAGCATTGCTCATTTTTCATCTCTCCTGCTTCGAAATAACCTAATGACTCTACAGTGGCGCCCGAACTGAAAAAGGAGGTGCATGATGAATTTCCACCGCCAAGATTTGGCGACTGGATCCCCTAATCCCCAGTCGCCCCTTCAAAGAGGGAGTATATAAGGTATTTCTCCCGCCTTCTTAGCATGCCTTAGTGGTGTAGTGGTCAGCACGCCCGACGCGTATTCGAGTCCCGGCGAGGGCCTTGCTCATTTTTCATCTCTCCTGCTTCGAAATAAACCTAATGACTCTTAACCTAATTATCGCTTATTGGAATCCGCAGTTCAGTTTGTAGAGACATTAGGTATTTTTGGAAGCAGGAGACATGAAAAATGAGCAAACGCCTTCGCCGAGAATCGAACCACGGTGCTCTGGAATACGTGTCCAGCGTGCAGACCACTACACCAGGCACCGAAGGCAGGCTAAGAAGGCGGGAGAAATACCTTATAAGTTAATATGATTAAACTTTTGTGGAATAAATTTTGAGACTAAGTCACCAAATGAAAAATGAATTCGCCAAATAAGGTCGAAATAGATTGCAAGAATTGCTAAGTGAGACAGAAATGTCTCCAAGTGAAGGAATAAGTTGCCAAGCAGCTTGGTTTCGATTTCAGTCAACTATTTAAAATTAGGCAGAAAAGCATCATTGGTTTGACGTAGATCTGGAATACTGATTCTGAGGCTAATCGGACTTAAATGATTTTACTTGTACGAAGTAAAGGAATTATTGTAACCATGGAAAATTTCTGGTGCCGTATTTTAACGAAAATAACCATTTTGACCGCTATCGAATGCAATTTAACGATGTTTTTGTGCGACATCTGTACGTATGAACGGAATAAAGGACCCTTTTTTCCCAAAAAACTGTTTCTTTTTTATTTGTCTAATTTCTTTCATACATCGTGTTAGATTTATTATAGTATTTGAATGGAACATGTGGCAAAGGTTTGATAAATCTTCAGATGATATAAATTTTGTGCATTTTGAATCATAAAATGAATGAGATGTAACGCTGTTAAGTGAACTTAGCGCCAGAGTGTCGGTATGGTAAACCAATATAGTGAATTTTAAAGAGTGCATTTATTGAGTTTTATGCGCTATCGAGTAAGTAGATTTAATTCAATTCAATAGGTTTAAATGAAATGCAGAGAAAAATTCGTATAATTTAAGCAAGGAAGTCATGTGGTGTACATATCAGATTTTTTAATTGAATGTCTGTATTTTTAACCAATTTCGATTAAAGTGTTTTAGCAACTGCGACTTCCGTCCTATTGACCGTATTATCGAGAAAGAGGTAAATATCAATTTGTTTCAGTACCTGAAAGAGTCTTTATTATTTAAACTGATTATATTTAGATAGCTAATGTTAGTAGAATTATAATTAATTTTGTTTTTTACCCCGTGCAATGCAGCGCGAGCCATATTTGAAGAGAAACTACGCCGGAAAAGTAAAAATACAGGAGCACGTGCTTTTAGCATTAAATAAATAGATATCTCGTAATTTATATTTAAACCGAGTAAATGTAATTCACTACTATGTTAGCTGTAACCGTAAAGCCGGACAGAGAACATCTGAGCTCAGTTGCTTTTTAGTTAGCTGCTGTTCTTATTATTGATCGGATTTTATCTTTCTCTGCGCTTTAGATTGCGTTCTATTTAACGTTTTAGTAGTTTGAAGGATAGGTACTGATTATTACTGCGTGATATTGTGAACACTTGTACAAATATTTCTGAGACAAATTACAGTATCCTTTTATATTTCTTTTGATAAGAATAAATTTTATTAATATTTTATCGGCCTTGTCTATTCAATCTGTTAAGAACCCGTACGCGCGCAACAATATGTTTTTTATGAATATTTTGATGCTATTATTATAACATATCTCATATTGATCTTTAGCCCTGTTTTGTGTTTGAAATCATGTGAGTTTTATGTATTGGTTTATGTCTGAATATCTCATCTTTTCCCTTCATTGTATTAAATAACTGCTCCTGTCTTAAATCTGTGCTTCTCTATATCTTGTATAGACAGTTCATAATTAGTACATTTTACAAATGCGATAGCCTCACACTTTGCAACTTCATTATTTGTCGATGAATCGAAGCAGTAATGCATTTTCGCAATCCACATTCCAGATTCGTCGTCCAAGTATCTGCCGTTATAAAAAGCATACTTAATCAAGTTCTTAAAATGAGGAACATTGAATTGATGTAGTGAAAAGGACTGCAGGGCCAGAAAACTATCGCGATGCCAAATGTGCTCCTATGTCTCGATAATGATTGTGTCCGTTATGTAACGAACAAAAGATTTTTAGTGTCTGAAAAAATGTATATTCAGAGGCTGGATCTTTCCCGTAGACCAGTACCAGGTACCATTTCTCATTGTAAAACTTTATCATCAGATACTTTGGAAGCAGACAATGCATTAACATATAAGAAATAAAGGCGCCATTACGGGAATATGTCCATCTATACACACTTCAATGATACTTTGTGGGTTCTGTAGCTTCTGAACGCTTGTCCCTCTGCTCCTAAGCCTTGTGATATAAGCTTTCAGAAAACATACGGATTTCCGGGAAAACGGTATCAAAGGAGAGAAGGTTTACTTGCCAGGGTAAGATCGATGATGATGGCAAACCGTACCTCGTTAGTTTTGATTCCGCCGTTTAGACAAGACCTCTTTGTTTCAACGTTTTGCATATGAACAGCTGTTGTTATATCAGGAAACTGAAGTACAAGGTGTGACACACAAAAGAAGAGAGAGAGATTGGTCTAATAAATCATTGTGCTTACAGAATCAGTTCTCCGTGACATTATCACCTTCAAAGTAGTCCCCGTCAGCATTCACACACTTCTGCATTCGGTGCAGCCATTGCTGGTAACAGTTTTGAAACGAGGTTTTTGGAAGGCCCTTCAGGAGATTCTCCGTTTTTGCCTGAGCCTCTTCAACTGAGATAAAATGGCTTCCCTTTAAGCAAGATTTAACTTTAGGAAATAAAAAGAAGTTGCATGGAGCCAAATTAGCTGAATAAGGATGATGCCCCGTCACAGTAATGTTTCTGCTGGTCAGAAACTGCTTGACAGGTAGGGCCGTGTGAGCGGGTGCATTGTCCTTAGCAACAGCCATCAATCACTCCACAACTGTGGTCTTTTTCCTAATTTTTTCACGAAGTCTTTTTAGTACTTCAATATAATAGTATTGATTAACAGTCTGACCATAGGGAACACATTCAATCATAATGAACGTGTTGGGTTGAATGGCATAAGCGGTTTTCAGGGAAAAGGTACAACGTGGGAGATGATGAACGTGCTGGGCCCCTGAAAACCGCTTATGCCATTCAAACACACGTGCACGAGACAAAGTTTTATCTCCCTAAGCCTCGGTTAACATGTGAAATGTTAGCTAGAAACTTGACGTTTATTCTCTGTTCGGTTTTTTACATTAGACATTTTTCCGGCAGAATGCAGTTGCATATGTTCACTCATTGCATTGACGCAATACTCCCCACTGGCGTGGTCGGTTAAGTCGAAACTAGCCTCATGGATAGAGGAGCTCTGTGGCATGACGTCACCAAAACGGTTGTTGCCAATTCCACTCTGTTTTCAAGCTACAGTCTTGTGTTTTTGTGTCACACCTCGTACCTCAAATCTACATTTTCAGTTGCTTTGTTTTATATGCTTGTCGACAATCTGAATGAATTGCCGATTTCTCTTGTACATTGTCTATGATCCTGAAATGTTAACATTTATATTTTCACAGAGTGTAGACGGAGAACGTGCATCCATGGAATTCTTCTTGTCGCTACGTGGAGTTGGTGTATCTCTCATTAATGATGCTTATCGCGAAGTGGCCTACGCTAGTTTGACATCCTGTCCAGCAATCTGGGAAATCGAGATTAACCACTCGTGGAAGCTTCTGACACTGGAGCTGTCGGCTTGGCTTGAAGATAAGTGGTCAGCTGACCAGCATAAAGCACAACTCAAGGAGTATCTTCAGGTGAGTACACAGTTTTGACATCTACTCGATGCGGCATTATATGTGGATTAAAGTTTAAAAATTATGTTTGAGAATAAAGGCAATTATACCCAGAAAATCCTGCCTTAACTACCTTTTTTTCCTTTTTCTACTCCAGAGATAAATATTTTGCGTTCAAAACTGGCTTTATAAATATTTCTTTCTCCCTTTCACCAGAGCTGCTCCACCCCCCCAGGGGAGTTGACTCTCTAGAGAACTCTGTAAAGCTACTGGCAGGAATCTGTACCTAGGCAGTCTCAACCACGAGAGTATAAAATTTATGAACCTAGTGGTTTTAGAGACTCCGGAAAGGTCACTTATAGGCCGGCCTCCCGGTAGTCGGGCGAGTCCTAGAGCAGTGAGGTTAGTGGTTCTGGAGACCCCGGAAAGGTCACTTATTGGTCGGTTCCCGGTAGTTTGGCTTGTCGTAGAACAGTGAGGTTAGTGGTTCTGGAGACCCGGAAAGGTCATTTATTGGCCGCCCCCCCCGGTAGTCTGGCGTGTCCTAGAGAAGTGAATTTAGTGGTTCTGGAGACCCCGGAAAGGTCATTTATTAGCCAGCCACCCGGTAGTCTGGTGTGCCCTAGAGCAGTGAGGTTAGTGGGTCTGGAGACCCTGGAAAGGTCACTTATTGGCCAGCCACCCGATAGTCTGGCGTATTTTAGAGCAATGAGGCTCTAGTAGCCCGGGGAAACGTCCCGATTTCCGGGGTGCCACTGCAACTGGCAGCCCCAGCGACTGGCAGATATCATGGTAGCATTTAGACGACTAGTGTCACCGTATGGCGATTAGTGTCTGTGCTTTCAAGGTGCGGGCAACGAGTTTGAACCCCCAGATCTGATCTGAAGGTGCACTGGCCCTGTAGTGCCGGCACCTAGCTTGACGAAGCACGTAAGTTAGAACTAGTTCCCTTTCACCAGCTCTCAAGACCTAAATAGAAATTCTCCTCTTTCTCACAGTAAGGGATGTTAAATACCTTCTCATGACCCAGAAGCAAAAATTCATGTCTGATCCCCAGTCCTTTATCTGATAATTAATAAAGTTGATCCCCTAAAAGCACGCTTTTGAACAAGCTTTGTAAGGTCTGCTTGTTTATCTTTTAATGTGACTACTGAAGTACGTATAGGAACTACACAGGAGAAGGGTAAAAAGAACCCTTTATTAACTATTTAAAATTCACAATGCGTCCACTTGATGCTAACACACTACGCGTCACTCGGGCGATAACTCAAATAACAAGAGCTATTGAGCTAAAAATTCGAATATATTAACAAACAATAGAATTACTCCACATGGCTCAGATAATCCTGTTTCCGCGTCGAAATCTAGTAGCAGCAAAGTAATAGCTGCTACTTCACGTTAACAAGAGATAACTGCGGAAACGGAAGCTCACGCTACAGAGGTACAGCGCTTGCACAAACTCTCTAACTTTCCCTTCTATAATTTGGTAATAGAACAAATAATGCGGAAAATTAGATCTACGAAATTCATAACCATTCCTGATCTTACTTCAGGCTACTTTCAAACAGCCATCAACCCAGAAGGCGTGAATAATTTTCATCCCTAAAAGACTCAAAAGTCGCAAGTCCGATGGCGACCAGTCCTTTTAATGGGTTTGATTTTCTAATACAAACAAGTATGTCTTACATTTGGCACTCCAGTTTATTATTGAATCCAATGGCTAACGATCAGGACGGTCAATCATCCCCACAAGACTCAGAAGTCTCAGGCCAGATGGGGACCAGTCCAGGATGGGTTTGGTTTTCTAATACAAACTAGTAGATCTTACATTTGGCACCCCAGTTTGTTATCAAATCCTATGGCCAACGATCAGGACAGAAAATCATTCCAAGACTCAGAAAAGTCGCAGGACCGATGGTGACCAGTCCTTTGGATGGGTTTGTATTATTTTCTAATAAAAACAAGTAGATCTTACATTTGGCACCCCAATTTATTATCGAATCCGATTGCCAACGATCAGGATGGACAGTCATCCCCACAAGACTCAGAAAGTCGCCGTACCGATGACGACCAGCCCTGTGGATGGGTTTGGTTTTCTAATACAAACAAGCAGATTTTGTATTTGACACCCCAATTTATTATCGAATCCGATGGCCAACGATTGGGACGGGGATGAAGACTCAGAAATCGCAGGCTCGATGGCGACCAACCCTTCGGATTGGTTTGGTTTCCTAATACAAACAACTATATCTCATATTTGACACCCCAATTTATTATCGAATCTGATGGACGACGATCAGAACCAGTGGCGGCTGGCTCGTGGCTAAAATTTGTGGGGGGTGTGCTGTTCCAAAAAAAAATTTAAACTTTGTTTCAAAATTGTGTAAGAGGAAATAAACATGTATAAAAAGAAAATTTATTTTGAAACTTCATGAAATCTTACAAGAAAATAATTAAACATTTCTTAATTACTTTAACCCCAATTGTTACACTTCAATCTTTGTCTATTCATTTAAAAATGAAGTCCATTCTTCTTGTTTTAATTTGCGCGAAAAAATTAATAATTTTCTCCTTGATCTCTGGATGGCAACTGAATAAATTTTTCTTTATTGAAAGCAATGCAAGCGCATTTAGTCTTTCCGAATTCCTAGTGCTTCTTAGAAAAGTTTTCATTTTTTTCAATGTTAAAAAGCAGCGTTCTGCCTCTGATGTAGTCATGGGAACCCTCAAGAGAACTTTTATCAGTTTCGTAATTTCACTAAGAACACCATCTAGATTATTTTGGAAAATAAATTTCAGTAGCTCAATTAATTTGCAGTATCCATGGATATCAGACCTACAATAGAATACTTTTAATTCAATTTCAAGATTTTCTTTGTCAATCATTGCATATGCTTTAGTGGTCAGTACTATTTCTTCTGTAGAATGATCATTCCTAAAACTAGCGAAGCATTTCTTGTTAAACAATTTAGAAGCTGCTAAGTGTTTAGTGGAAGAATATCTGTGCATTATATCAATACATAAAGTCACATATTTCCTTAGCTTCTGCCATCAGTGTCTTTGAAAAGTTATCACAGTACTTTGAGTTTCTTAATTCTAAAATAGCAGTTTTGAAATTTGTTATGTATCCATTAACATTAAGGACACTAATTTCTTTGGATTGCATTTAGTTTGTAGAGACATTAAGATTTTTTGGAAGCCGGAAAGATGAAAAATTAGCAACTGCCTTCGCCGGGAATCGAACCACGGACCTCTGAAATACCGTCTCAGTGTGCTGACCACTACACCTCGAAGGCACGCTAGGAAAGCGGGAGATATACCTTATATACTCCCCTTTTTAAAGGGCGACAGGTTTTTTTAGGGGACCCAATCGCCAAATCCTGGGTGTGGAGAGTCATCATCCACAACCCTTTTAGTTCGGGCACCACGGTAGAGACATTAGGATTTTTTGGAAGCCGGAGAGATGAAAAATTAGCAACCACCTTCGCTGAAATACCGGCTCAGTGTGCTGACCACTACACCACGAAGGCATACTAGGAAAGCGGGAGATATACCTTATAAGTTATATATTACTTCAACATGAGGCATCTGATAAAAAAGCTCTAAGCAAAGTTTGAAATTATCATCTTTTAGATATTTTAAAATTTAATTCGTGTTGCTTTTGCAATAGTTTGATCTGCATTTGATGTTGATTGAATTTCAGAAAGGCAATTTTTTAAAGGTTGCAAATTTTCACGAATTCTGTTTATGGTCCGTTTGATGAAATTCCACTTTGTGGGGGAGTAAAAAAAAAGTTACGTTTCCAACAACATGCCAAAATTTCGGCACTGCAAGAGCGACAGTGCTCTTCTCTCTACCCGGCTCTTTCTGTATGCGCATGCGCAGAACAGCCAAACACCACGACGCTAGAACTGTGAAGCGCACAGTTCCAAACAGAGACTTTCGTTCGTTTTTCACAAAGTGTTTTATGGCTGCTAACATTAAGCTTAACCCCTTAACTGCCGCGGGCGTATATATACGCCTTGCTCAGCCGATGCGTTAACTGCCCCAGATGCGCAGCCGATGCGTTAACTTTGCGAATAATTTTAGGTGTAGCAGCGCAAAGCAAATGATAGCAGTTTGGAAGGACGTATATATACGCCTGGGGCAGTTAACGCATCGGCTGAGCAAGGCGTATATATACGCCCGCGGCAGTTAAGGGGTTAAGGATTCTGTTTTATAAAAGTTGACTGAAGGGCACACTACATTAAATATTAAAAATAATAATAAGTGTAAATAGGGGTGCTGCAGTTCCACATTGCTTATAACAAGCCGCCACTGATCAGAACGTACAGTCATCCCCACAAGACTCAGAAAACGTTGCAGGCCCCGATGGCGACCAGCCCTTTACATGGGTTTGGTTTCCTAACACAAACAAGCAGATCTTACGAGTTGTATTTCCATTGCAATTCCAAATAAAAGAAGATTAAAATGCGTTTATATTTCCCGCCTTTTTAAATGAATTTTCGTTTATATTATCCTGCTACAATTCCGTTGTGAAAAGAGCATGCATGACCAATGAAGCCATCAATCAACTCTTTTCATTTTCTCAGCATTCTGGTGTCAGAAAACACGAAGCGAAGGTTCTCTCTTGGCGGTGGCGATCCCGGCCACATTTAATATCGACGAGTCTGTCTTGGGGGGGGACGATGAGTTGGTTAATAGTAAGAATCTAGAATAAAATCGGCATTTGTTATGCAGAAAAAAAAACGAAAAGCACTGTGTAATAGCTCTATGTGACGCATTGTATCTAACAGAGTTCTAAAATGAATCTAAGTACCTCATAAATTTTTACATTTGTGGTTTGGTGGCATTTGTGTCTAAATCAACATACAATCTAGTTTAAAAGAAAATTTATTAGAATACCGAAACATATTAATTTAACGTAAAATCTATTTAACATTTCATCCGTAGCCTTCAAGCTGCATCTAACAAATCCAGATTTCAAACTGTTGCCACTTAAACTAAACTAAATGGCGCAA